CGGCTAGAGGTTCTGTGCATCATTCTTGGAAGTCAACTTTCGTGGGCAGCTTTATTTTAGTTTCAGGTGATTGGGTTCAGGTGTTTTTCCTTCCTTAAGGCTTGTATATTAAATTGTATTTTCATTTTCTGATTTTTTTTCCTCTGAGTAAAATGAACCCTGACTTGTGAGATCTTTGATTAGCCTGGAGTGGTAATATGGATCAGCTCACTAAATAACTGTGCAGTGAATTTGCTAGTCATCGTTGTGCATGCTTCAGCTGGGCACTCGTTCCTGGGGATGGAAAGATAGACTATTAGTGCCTTTTGAAGGAGGAAAAGGAGTCATCTGTAAGGGAGAACTAGCTTGGTAGTGGTGTATTGCTCTTTAGATCCAGTAGTTGGAATTTTCTAGGGATCTATCCCATGCTACCCTTTCAAAGTTTTACTTCCTTAGACCAAGAATTCTCATGGACAGTTGGGTGAATTCTAGCTGATAGAACTTGAAATACTTTTTCCTCTTTTCTGTCTCCTAGCCTGTTTATCTGAAGGAAATAAACATCTATCTTCCCTTGATTTTTGTCAGAAAAATGTCTGCCATTCTGAAAGTAACTTTGTACAGCTTAATTTAGCTGACTTTCCAAGGCCTGCTTGCTTTGTAATAATTCTTCAAACTTGAATTGTGTGACACTAGTTTATTACTTATCTATTGCATTTTTGGTGTACACTGTTTAGTTCATTGTGTATGTTCTGTGTTCTGCAGTTCCTTAGACTAGAAACTATTTACTGCACTTCATAGGTAGATGCAGTGGCTCTGTAGCTCCAGCACTGGGGAGGAAAGGTGTGAGTACAGGTCTGGAACTCACAGACCAGTCAGTGTCAGTGTCGCTGAAACCCTGAGCTTCAGGTTTAGCAGAGATACTCTGTCTCAAAAAACAAGGGGAGAATGATAAAGACACCTGTGTCAATCCCTGGCTTTTACACACACACACACACACACACACACACACACACACACACACACACACACACACACACACACACGTGATTTAATGCTGAGAAAATACACATTCTCTCATGTTACAGGCGCCTCAGGATGACTCGGCTGAAATTGAAGTGTGGTGACAATAACAGATATCAGTGTTTTCCCCTGTGTTTCTGGATGCAGTCACATGCCTTGCACGGGTTTAGCTGGAATTCTTCATTGTTACAGTAATGGTTGAAACAAGGTAGTGAGAGGCATGCTTGACTCCCTTCTGACAACAAGACTAGCACTTGCCTTAGAAAAGTCTGGTGGTGCCAAGCATTGGTGGCACAGGCCTTTAATCCCAGCAGAGGCAGGCGGATCTCTGTGAGTTAAGACCAGCCTGGTCTACAGAGTGAGCTACAGGACAGCCTCCAAAGCCACAGAGAAACCCTGCCTCAAGAAAAAAAAAGAAAAAAGCCAAAGAGAAATCCTGTCTCGAAAAACCAAAACCAAAACCAAAAAAAAAGAAAGAAAGAAAAAGAAAAAACTTGATATTTTTAGGGAGCATATAAATAATTACTTGATTACTGTGGCACTGAGATTGTGGCACACCTCTATAGGACCATACAGTAGGTGTTAAGTACAATTGGGTAGATATTTGTATTTTGTGTAGGAAAATATGCAGGCTGTAAAGGAAATAGCTTGCCTATACAGCAAGAATATTTCAGGAGAGGGAAAAGTTTCAAGTTAGAGAAAGCTTGTGTCTGCACAGTGACTGTATTTGAAAGAAACACAGACTTGTTTGTTTGTTTGTTTTGCCGGGGATCAAGACAGGGTTTCTCTGTGTAACAACCCTGGCTGTCCTGGACCTCACTCTGTAGACCAGGTTGGCCTTGAGCTCACAGAAATCTGCCCTTCTCTACCTCCTGAGTGCTGGGATTCAAGGTATCTGCCTTTAAAGGTGTGCTGTTTGTTTGTTTTTTAACATATTTTACAATTTTACTTTCAAAGACTTTTTGGTGTCTGATATACATTCTAACACTTTGAAAACAGCATTCTACCAGAAAACCTTCTTCTGCCTTTATTATGTTAAAATGGCAAGTGTGAGCTGGAGAGATTGCTCAGCCCTTCAGAGGTTCAATTCCCAGCACCCACTTGGTGACTCAGTACCATCTATAAATCAAGTTCCAGGAATTTCATGCCTGCTTCTGGCCTCCTTGGGCACCAAGCATACAGCATACACATAGTAAATAGATATACATGTAGGGAAAACACATACTGATTTTAAAAAAAGGTAATTTCAAACATGGCAAGTGATTGTCATCTAACACAGGCATGTTTTAGCCATGCTGAGGCAAATTGCTGCATTGCGTTGCCTGCAACCCTGAGTGTACTTCTTTGTAAGTAATCTTTGATTAAAAAAAATAGCATATCCCAGAAGGAAAGTGTATTTTAGATATATGGTTAAATAAATTTCTAATTTATTTTCTCATATATTACATCCCCACTGTAGTTTCCTGTCCTTCTACTTCTCTCAGATCCATTTCTCCTCTGTTTCCCTTCAGAAAAGAGCAGCCGTCCCAAGGATATCAGCTGATAATGCTGCATATCACATAGGCACCACAGTATAAGAAATTACAAAAAGACTAGGCACATACCCTCATACCAGGTCTAGAGGATGCAACACAGTAGGAAGAGTCCCAAGGGTAGACAAAAGAGTCAGGGACATCCTATTCCTACACAACTGTTGCAGGGTCCCCACAGGTGTCCCCTGGGGGTGGGGAAAAGTAGGTGCAACACCAACAACACAGGCATTGGGAACAAGTTGAAACAAGAAGCTCTGTTTATTCCAGGAAGGAGTAAGCCTTATATACTCCCCCACCCTGCCCCAGGTCAGGAGATCCACTGAGCTTGCATCTGCTGATGTGACATGGTGCGGTCGCTGTTCATAGGTCCGCGTCATCTCTCATCTACTGTTGTCAAAACCGTCTGACAGACCTAGGCTGGGCTGTCAAGAAATATCTACTGCACATGCTCTTACTGTTGGTCTAGGTCAGCTGCCAGGAAATATCAACTGCACATGCTCTAGGCCCCATATCAGTCCCATTGAGGCTTAGTTTTCCCATACACAACCATAGTGTGTATGTCAAGGACCTAGAACAGACCCATGCGGACTCTTTAGTCTCTGTGAGCCTGGTGAACCCTGTTTAGTTGATTCCATGGTCTGGGTTATTATGTTTTTCTTGACCCCTCTGGCTCCTTTAATTCTTCCTTCCCTCTTCCATAGTATTTCTCAAAGTTGCCTCTAATGTTTGGCTGTGGGTCTCTGCATCTACTTGCATCAGTTGCTAGATGAAGCCTCTCTGATGACAATTGGGCTAGGCTCTTAGTTTGAGTGTAGCAGAGTAACATTCTGAATCATTTCATTTGACTTTTCTTTTGCCAATCATATTTGGTTCTATCCTAGGTCTCTAAGTTTTTCAGACTCTGAACTCCCAGGCAGTGTCAGGGGTGGACTCCGTGCCATGGCATGGATCTCAAGCTGGACCAGTCATTGGTTGACTATTCCTTCAACATCTGTGTCACTGTTATTCTAGCACATCTTGTCAGGCAGGACAAATTGTAGTTCAAAGGTTTCATGGCTGGCTTGGTATCCCAGTCACTGGAAGCCTTGCCTCGTAACAGAAGACGGCTGTTAACATCCCCATAAACTTCATATCCCTATTACTAGGAGTCTTCACTGGTGTCACTCTCATAGATGCCAGGAAATTTCCATTGCACTAGGGTACCATATCGCCCCCAAAGTGACCCTTCCCCAATTCCAGTAGTCTCTCCCAATACTCTCTTGTTCCACCACCCCCGCCACCACCATGAGCCTCCCAGTCCACCTGTGTAGTCTGTTTCCCCATGCCAGGGAGACATGTGTGCCCCCTCTTTGGGTCCTGCTTGTTACTTACCTCTCAGGGTCTGCGGATTATAGCAAGATTATCCCTTAACAGCTAATGTCCACTTATGAGTGAGCACATACATATTTGTCTTTCTGGGTCTGGGTTACCTCATTCAGGGTGATTTTTTTTTTCTAGTTCCATCCATTTGCCTGCAAATTTTGTAATGTAAATTTTAAATATTTCTTAACAGATGAATTCACACAACTCCATTGTGTAAATATACCACATTTTCTTTATCCATTCTTTGGTTGAGGGACATTTAGGTTGTTTCTAGTTTCTGACTATTGTGAATAAAACTGCTATGAATGATTCTTTTAAAAATTTAAGTTGCCATGGAGAAAAATGATTACCCGTAATCTATCCAATTTGCATTATACTTTGCATTATTTTGATTTTTCTCGTTTTTTCAACATTCTCCAAACATTATCCTGCTCCTAACAATAACAAAGGTCATTGATAGGGCCTTTGCATTCTCAGGTTTCTTTCAGGAGGGATCTCATTGGGTCAAGAGCAAACACGATCTGTTCATTTAATATGAAAACTGGTGTCAGTTTTATTCTTAGGTTTTGCTAAATTTTTTATAACAACAGTTGGGTCAAAAAGAAATCTGTAGATGTTAAGAAATGTACTTTTTCACTTGGGAAGAGAAGGTATGAGGTATATACCTTTGCAGCGTTTACAGGCTACATCATTGTCAAACTTTACTCTTCACATAGTGCCAGAGAGATTGCTGATTGTTTATTCTGCTATAATTAAAGTCATCTTAATTAATTAGACAAATGAATAAAACAGCTCAAAGAGAGAGTCCTTGTGCTGGGGAAGAATTGTAGTTCTTAGAACTCCTCAATTGGTTTAAAGAGGTCACCTCTTGTCAAATGTGATTGATAGTACTTAAGGTTGGATTCTTCATCTTACTGGACGTATAAGACGCAGGAGTGCAATCAGAAGTTCAATCAGCTATACAAAGGAAACATCAAAGGAATGCTTTAAGCCCTTAATGTTACATCTTTAACAATCTTTGTCTCACTTTAAATGGGAAATATTTCTCTCTCTCTCTTTAAAGTTATTGAAGCTGGAATACGATTTATACTTTCCCCTGTATTATAGGAACTGCCTTCTGTTGAAGAACTCACTGTTATTCTGCCTGAAGACATTGAACTAAAGCCTCTTGGGAAGGTTTCAAGCATTATTGAACAATTAGGTATGTAAGTAACTTTTATTAACAAAATTTATGTTCAAACATACACTAACAATAGGTCAAAGACTTAATGTAGTAAATTTTCATGAAACATATGCAGTTTATCTTAGTCATTAAACTGGGAAGTATAATCAGTTTTTAGTTACATTTATTTTTTCTTGTCTTTGCTGACAGTTTTGAGAATTTCCTCTGATTTGGTTTACTTTATTGACTGTAACAAGTTGACAGAACTTTTGTGCAATACACCAGCATAAATTTCCTATCTAACAACTTTGTTGACTTGTAGTCTGATACAGGTCTGATCATAGTAGGCTAAAATCAGATGTCCAAGAGGAATGAGCCCCATTCTTAGGCTCTTTTGAGGATCCCCTGGCTCCTTTCCCCACTTTTTTGTTCTTTTTGTTTTCTCAGCTGACATGTTTCCTGTCTCCTGTCTCTTCTTCATTCTTTTCTGGCTTTTTGAGACATGGTCTCAATGTGTAGCTCTGGCTGTCCTGAAATTCTCTCTGTAGACCAGGTTGGCTTCAAACTCAGATCCACTTGCTTTTGTCTATTTAGTGCTGGGATTAAAGGCGTCTGCCAACACCACCCAGCTTCTTCATGCTTAAAGCCAGCAATCTATCCTCTGTGTGAGCCTTGCACCATTATTACATGTGATTTTGCCTATCCCTTGGAAAGGTTCACTACACAGTAAGCCCCTCATATCATGCCCCTTCTCTTTGACTGTGAGAAAGTGTGGAAACTGGTACTTCTTTCTAAACATGTATTATGTGTGGAGAATATAGAGATTTGCCTACAAGAAATTGAACTCCATCTTCCCATTAACCCTGGATTTGCTGAGGACAGAAGTTTGCAGATTTTCATCGAAAGATGAACAACTGAAGGATATAGTGTTCGACCCTATAACTCCCTGGGCCAAGAGGTTTTCCCTTCCACAACTCATTGAATATGGCTTAATTTTTCTATCCCGCAACCAAACTTTTAGAGTCTTTGACAGTTGGATCTTAACATCTAGTAATGGCAAAGTTATGGTAGTCAACTAAGAACAACCAGTAACTCTTACAGTGAGATAAATCTAAGACTGCAGTTAGGAGTTGAGAAAGCCATAGGGTTTTTGAACTTGGGAAAGCAACTAATTTACAAGCCCTCTTAATTTATAGAGCCTACATAACACAGAATTCAAGTCTTTCTCCTGATCAGCTGTGTAAGTGTCTGCAAAGGAACTTTACCTTTTGACCCTTTTCTAAATAATATTTTGATTTAAATTTTTATTAAAGCAAAATCTTTATTTTTCTAAAAATAGTTCTAAAACTTTTTTTTATTTTTTTATTTTTTTAATAGTTCTAAAACTTAATCCTATTGCCACATTTATTGCATTTACATTTACTTCATGATATATACTTACATTTTATTTATTTACTGTGTATATGTGCATATGTGTGGGGTCTCCTGAATTTGACATCATGGATTTATATTTAGAACTTAGAACTACTAATTGCAGCTCTAAATTGAGATACAAAAGGAAAAAAAAATGAGTTACTTTTGATAATACGAATTCCCTTTCCAGTGAACATGGCATTATCTGTATAGTGTGATGTTCTGCATAAGGGTGTGGCACATTACTGTGTAGACCAGTTTAAAGTCTGCAGCATTTACTTGTATTGGGGTTTATGCTAAGCCCGTGGGATACTATGTGTTTGTGTTTGTTTTTTGCAAAAGGTATGTAATAGAAATTACAGTGGGTCCATTGTCACCTTGTTTTCATTTATTCAGAGGAAGAAGTTTTCATAAATCATTAAACGTTTCACTTGTCAGTAAACAAGCAAAAGTTGGTAGGAAAGAGCTCCACTGCTCTGTAATGGAAGTTTGTGACTAGATGGTGATATGTTCTTTGTCTGTTTTTCAGTAATAATTGAGTCTCTGACTAACATACCTCCAGTTAATGAAGATACTGTCATTTTCAAAAGTGATCGACAAGCAGCAGGGAAGGTTTGTAAAAGCTCATTATACAAATCATTGTTTCTTGATTGTTTTCTAGTTTGTCTTCAGAGTTTCTTAATTTACCTAGGCAAGTCACCGAGTTTTAATTCATTCTCATTTCTTCATGTGTCTTATAAATTGGCTTGCTATCTCTCAGAATTCTCTGCTGTATGGAGCAGTGAATTCACATAAGAAGATTTTTTTTCCTCAGTGTTTGTCGGAGACTTTAAAGGCAGATGTTCTAAACCCTGAGTGTGGCATTGCAGAGCTCAGTGAGTAGGATTTCCACAGGGTAGTAATGGCTATCGTTTTTTATTTTGTAAGTTAGTGACTTCAACTCTTCAGATTTTGGTTTCTTGAGGTAGAAGTGCAGAGTGGAATCTTTTAAATGGAAAAATATTTCAGCAGCAAATTCAGTGTTGCTCCATGCTCAAGTTTAGGGGATTGTGAATATGGATTTAGTAGCCAGGTTCACTGGATCCTTTTATCCTCTTACTGGGTAAACATGCATGTCCATGCTTAATCTGAAAACCACACCACAGTAAGTAAGGTGATTGTGAACCTCTCAAATTCAAGATTGCAAGTACTAAACAAGTGTTCATTTTCAAATTAAATGTACTGAATATATAGATACTTGCTTGAAAACATGAATAAGAAACCTGTGGCTCTCTGCAACATGCTTTTAGAATTTAGTTCTTCCCAGATAGATTTTTTGTTTGTTTGTTTGTTTGTTTTAGGAGATCAAAGTAAGTAACGTTGAGTTAGGAAGAGGGAAATATTCGTGGACAAACTCACATACTTTTCTCTGGCTCTCTGCTTTCCCCACTGCTTTTTTTAACAGCTTAGAAAGGATCAGCTTTTACCAAGTACACTACGCAATTTCTGTGTAATTTGGCCAGCTTGTTGGCCACAACTAATTATGAAGCACTTTGGCAGGATTTGTTGGTATTGAGAACTGTTTTTATTTGGGGGGAAGGTGATGAAGGGAGGCAGATTTGTGTGTAGGATGATGCTGTGCTTTTCCTCCTTGAAAACTTAGGCCAGTGCACATCTCCATACAGTGGGAGAAAACAACCATGGGCTGGAAAGAGCAAAGGAGTGGGAGAGGCTACAAGATGGGCTGTGGGTAGCTCCCCCTGCCCACTGTACTATTTTAGAAGAAACCAAATTTGCCTCAGCAAAAGCAATGCTTGTTGGTGTCCTCCAGGAACTAGTAACAGAATGGAGGGGGAAGAGCATGAGAAAGTCTTTTAATCTGAAATAAAACTGAAAAGTGAGTGCTTCTCTAATTCTTATTATTATGGTTTTTATGACATCTAATTTTTTTCTCAAGGTAGCTGTCTTGGGCAATTTTAGTTTAAGAATACATGCTTTGCTAATTCGGTCTTTAAAAAACGGCATTTTTATAGTGCAAATATTTGTGATTTTTAGGCTTATAAGTGAGAATAATAACTTTGATATGCATTAGATGAAAGTTAATGCATTGGAGGCAAAAATTATATCTGGGTGTAAATTTTACTTAGAGAACTTTGTGAACTTGAAAAGGGGAAGGTATGCCCACCCAGCATTCAATGGTTTGAGCAGATTTGAGATGCTTTCTCACAGAGTAAAATTTCCTTTGTAGATTTCCCATTATGATGTGCAGTTACAAACTTTGCTAAGTTGAGTAGGATGTTAGGAAGGGGTGCAGAGGACTTACAGGAGACTGTAAAAGAAGGTGTATTACCCAGAACCCTGCTTTGTAGAGTTACTCCTCATAGTTTCCCCCCCAAGTGGTGTTCAGCCTTGGATCTATACTCTGAGAATCATAAGGTGTTTTTTTTTTTTATTGTTTCTTTGTTTTAAAATAATCTTGCTGTATCCTTCTTTTAAATAATCCTGATGAGGTAAATTGCTTAATTTGAACTCAGCCAAGTTTTCCTGTGATTAAGGTAGGACCATGAACACCTACCAGTCCTTAGGCATGCTGAGTCTATCATAACCAACCTTCCTTTCACTTGCTGTGTAATACTGTTTTACTCAAAAACTTTATAATGGGTTAATTGTAGCTGTGAACCTCAAATACTTCAGATTCCGAGGAAAGGATTACTTCAAATGTGTGTGAGGATTTCAGTGTCACAGTGGTAAACCAAGCGTGGTGGCTCACACAGGAGGGTCATGTGTCCACTGGCTATAGCTATAGAGAGCAGGCCGGACTGCCTTCTGACTCCGCCAGCACTTGAGCTCCTTGCAGCTCTGTGCCAGCTGCCCTGCTTTGTCACCTTAGAAAGGCCAGGCCTTCACCTTACAAAAATGCCAGTTGCATTAACTGACCTTGTCTTTTGATTCAGACGCTTGCTTTTGTATTTCCATCATCCGATTCCAGTTTTTGACTGCATTTTGTGTAGCATATAAATCATGGACATTGAGAGAAAGAAAAGTCATTATTTGCACCACCAAAATTATTTGAATTGGCAAGAACCCAAACTTGATATTCTTTTATTTGAAAGAAAATTATAATAAGGCTATTGTATTTGTATAGGATCACCTTCTTTTTGTAATTATCAGTGTTTTAAACAATCTTGCTACCTTTTCAAATCATAATTGAAAGATAACATATTCCATGTCTTCTGTTTTGTAGATATTTGAGATATTTGGACCTGTTGCCCATCCATTTTATGTGTTGCGGTTTAATTCTTCAGATCACATTGAGAGTAAAGAAATCAAAATAAAGGATACTATGTATTTTGCTCCATCAATGAAAGACTTCACTCAGTATATATTCACAGAAAAACTCAAACAGTAAGTGTTTCATTGCTTGGTCTTCATTGTCAGAATCTGACCCTTTGGGGGTCACATATCAGAACAGTCGCAAAATTACAGTTAAGAAGTGGCAACAAAATAATGTTGTTATCAGGGGTCACCACAACATGGGGAACTGTATTAAATGGTCCACAGCATTAGGAAGGTTGAGAACCACTGCCATAGATGGCAACTTCTTATAGGTTAATGGTGGCTTTATTCCAGAGTGCTCATTTTTCTTCCTATGAACGTATTTGAGAGCTGTGATTTGTCATCAGCATTAGCAGGTAGAAATTATGTATTTCTGTACTTTACCCAAATAAGCCACTGGGATCACAGCATTCGAATAACATAGAAGTCTTTTGAATTCTAGTTAACTGTTTTTTTTCCATCACATACATTATTAGTGTCCAGACTGCTTCAATATTAGTGTTACTACATAAGAAAAATTATTTCCAATAAAGTTAAAAGTTTAAAGACCTGTTTTTGTTAGTTTGTTTTGGTAAGACAGGATGTCATGTATCCCCAGTTCGATTCATATTCCTGATCCTCCTGCCTCCGTCTTCCAAGTGCTGAGTTTACAAGTTTGTTCTGCAAGTTATAAAAAATACTAGTCTCTATGCCATCTTTATATTAAATCAGTTTTCTCAACTTCATTTACAATTTCAGAGGTGAAAGTGTTGGTCTTCATAAAGGACAAGTCATGTTTAAGAATTTAAAGTAGAACCATTTGGCCTTAATTATTTTTCCAGCTGTGTGTAGTTAATTTTCCTGTATTAATAAGTGATGGGATAAATGTTTTAAATGGATATTAAGTCATAAAGGTTTTATATTTTAGATAATGCTTAAGCAGTGACCATTTCATTCTTCCTTGAATATTAAGGTGATACCCAGGGATTATGTGCAATATGTACCATATGTAGCCTTTAACACATACCCAAAAAAAGTTTTCTGAAAATGCTTACAAAATAGTTAAATAAAAGCACATTTTTAAGTTTTGATTTTCAATTCTGAGAAGAAATATGAGTAAACTAGAGGAGTGAGCGGTGAGGCTGAACCGTAGCACCCTACAATCCATTCATATTGTTGTCTCCTTGTACTTAACTGTGTGCAGAACTTGACTTTTGGAGTAGAGTAGTTCAGCCCTTTGACAGTTCAACCCCTAGCAAGACTAGGTTAGTTAGCTTATTGTCTACTTGGTGTCTTGTTGCTTGGTTATTCTTTGGCAAATTTAGGTTTCTTGTAGTAGACAAAGTAGCTAAGGAACTTTCCTGATAATCTCCATAGACTCCAGACTAAGGATTTTATATATCATTTCTGGTACTCTTGTAGTAACTGTGTTAAAAGGGAACACTGGATTTATGTCAAATGAACAGGTTAATGACAACCAGATGATAAGATAGTCATTCATAAAATACACATATAATTTCAAAGATATCAGTGAAAAATTTAAAGCAATTCAGTTTTCATTTTGTGACAACTCAGTGTCATTGGCATATTGGTTTTAGTGGAATTAATTCCAAAGAAACTCATTTATTTTTTAAAGATCTAATTTAAAGTAGTAAGGACATCAGGTCAGAATAGTTTGTGAATAGGTGAATAACAAAGATGGCTGAAACCATGAAATAGTTAAACAGATTTAAAAATGAGGTTTCAGAAATTATGATTATACTCTGATACTTTTTTTTACATTGTTAAACTTCCCACCAAGTTACTAATTTCGTTTCTAGTGACGTATTTCATGCAAGTGTCTGATACACTTACTACACCATCCATCAGAGTACTCAGTGTTCCTCCTCCTCCCCAAACTCATGGAGAATTGTTGGAGTAAGGAACAAGAGCTTGTGTCTTTGCCTGTTCATGTGAACCCCAGAAAGGGAATTGTTCAGTTGTTTTTCATGTCTGTAGCAGCTGAAACATCTTCTCATGTGTGGGTGTGGAACATAGTTTTCCACAAAGGTCAGGCATCTTGAAGTGAAAATCAAAAGTGCAAAAAAAAAAAAAATTACACAGCCTTCTTCTTGTCTCAATCCCCCAGTGCTGACAGCTGCATGTGTTTTTGTATCTCTGTTTCTAGTGTTTTTCTTACATGATGCCGACATTATTTGAAATCGGTAGAGGACACAAAAAATAGTCTTTTAGTTTCTGCCTGTTTCCATATAAAAGTAGAGCTCATCTAATTTTCCATAGCTTTAGGTTCTGTAAGCCCTTAACAAAATCTAATCTTTTCTAGGGACAGAGGATCGGATGCATCCTGGAAGAATGATCAGGAACCACCTCCAGAAGTTAGTAGGAACCTTTTTTACTTAATAATTCAAAAAGCAGCACATGCCTTAATCATACACATTGTTAACTAATTCCAACTTATTTACCTTATAATTCTCATTTTTATCAACTTTGTTGGTAGATGTTATTACATAAATTGAGTTTATTCTTAAGTTTAGTGAATGTGTGGTACATGATAGCATTTGCTGTAATGCATTTAATAAGTTGATATTTGGGGTTGGGGATAGAGTCATGGCAACTGCCAACTCTTACTTCCTAATGCTTGTGTAATGCAGTTACTCTTTTGAAACTATCCCTTGATTTTATGATTTGTGTTCATGTCACTGGTACCTTAGTCTTATCTCCTAAGGTGGGCTAATAATTTAATCTGTCTAGAGCTGTGTAATTTATTTTTGAATTGCATGCAAATGTGTCAAGATTGGTCCCACTCCAGGTGAACAGTTGGGTGTTCTAAAGATTTTAGTGTTGTGGCTTTGATTTAATTGGAGATTTAATTTCAGGTTTATACCTACTTAAGGAGATTTTACATACACTGATCACTTAGCTCAGGGTATTAGTCTGTTTTGGTATATACCGAGATGTTGTCTAGTGATGTTGATATCTACTCAAGTTCTCTGTTATGCTTAGAGCATCTTCACAATGACATTACATGTTTGAAAGTGTTTGGTCCTTTATTCAAGTCTTAAAACTGATCATGTTAAACCTTGTTTTAGGTCTGAAGATTAAAGTTAATAATTTTGCTAATGTTACATTCTTGTGAAATTGGTTTGGTTTGATTTGATTGTTTTTACAGAAATAAATCCCATATGCTGTATGATTGGGGGGGCAGTGGTGGTAGACTATCTCATGAAAAATGTTTGGATTTAATTTTATACAGTCCTTAATGACATTTTATAGTCCAGGACAATTCTCTAATTTTACTCCATGGTAAAATTCTGGATGTACATAAAAGACCTAAAGATTTCTAGATTTCTTAAATCTCATCTTTATCTACAATTCTGATGTATATATGAAAAATTTATAGTTGACTTAAGTATTCCATGAATACAAAATTGAATTTGTAAAAGAAAAATGATTTTAAGAGATAGCAAAATTTACTCAAAGCAAACTTTAAAGCTGCTTCCAATGAATTTTTCTGATTCTGCTGTAGGAAAGAGAAGCTTTGGTTTGCCTTCCAGAGCATTTTTGCTTCTATATATTCTGTTTTGTCTTTTTTTTTACTATATGCATATTATTCCCATTCCCTGTTCTGCTAGCAAGTCTTCCTTTTCTACTTTTTCCTTACCCAGCCCCACACTCCTCTTAACACAAAGTCATAGTATTTGTTGTATTACTTGTTGTAAAGAATGAAATTTGAGATTTTGACAAGATTAACGGACAAAATGTGTGTCTGATTTTGAGTGATGGAATGATGTCTTTGATTTGATTTTGGATCTGGTGATGGGTAAAAATAGCTTAGTCTTCATTACTGTTTTCTTTGACAGTTGGCGTGACAATGAATCTTAAATCTAAGTGGGAAGTTAGGTTTCTGGCCAGGGAACATGTATTCTATATTTTAAGATTGCTCATTTTTGGCATTTTAAAGTTATTTATCTGACGCTTTCTAAGAATTAAATAGGCAAATTTTTAAAAAGGAAAATTTTAGGTAGCCAGCTTATTAAACTAATTAGGGCTTAAAAACCGACCAACAAACAAAAGCACAGTTTTTTCTGTTGTTACTTTAGATATTAATGAACATATTAATAGGTAGCATTAAGCTGAAATGAGCAACCTTTTCTCGGGGTTAGTAGGTAAGTAGTAGCTTGAGCTTCACCTGCAAGTGCCTACTGTTCCGTCAGCAAACAAGTGACAGTTGAATTTCTACTTTTATCTGCAAGGCCTTGGATTTCAGTGATGATGAAAAAGAAAAAGAAGCCAAACAGAGGAAAAAATCTCAGATTCAAGGGCGGAAAAAGCTCAAGTCAGAATTGAATGAATCAAGTGAGTATATTGTTTTTGTATAGTCATTTTTGGTTTTTACAAATATGCAAGCAAAAATAACAGAAAACATCTGGATCATCCTCCCCCCCCATTACACAGCATAGGCTATGTTGAGAACCCCAGGATTACTTGGGTTGTTTGAGCTCAATCTGAAATTGTCTTCTAGGGTAACTGAGTCTGTTAGAGGCAGCTGTGCTTACAGTGTGGTTTCCTAAGAAATAGATTTGCCATTTGCCCATGTTTAGAATTGGTAGTGTGGTACCCACATCACACTGTTTATTTTGACTTTCCCTTTTAAAATCTGTTTTCTCTTCAAGAATTAAACTTTTGAGATAATTGTAGATTCACATATATTTATTCTATGTCCTTTACCCATGTAAAGCTTGCTGTGTCATATCTGTAATTATTGCCGTGATATCCTCAAAGCTTAATATTTCTGTGACCAGAACAGAATGTTCCTTCATTTGTTTTCCAGTTGTGACTCTGCATCTTTTTCACCTCAGTTCATGACAAGTATCTGTGTGTCTGTCTCTCTGTCTATCTTTTTCTGTTCCCTCCTCCCTTCTATCTTATAATGCTAGATAGAGATCAAGGTCAAGACTTTGCACATGCAAGTGCTCTGCCCCTGTGTGGCATTACAGTGCTGCTCTCCATTTCTTTAATGTGATCATTTTAGTAATGTTACATAAGACAGAATCTTGTAGCGTATGACATGAGTGTTTAAAATCACACATTTACTGCTGATCACACTTGCTTGGAAATAAATCCATCTAAGTTTGTAGATTCATAGATTGTTCCTTTTTTTTACAGAGTCCTGTCCTGTGGGGTAAATTAGATCATACATTGTTCCATTAAGGAACATCTGGCTTATTTCCATTTTTGTCAGGAGTAAATCTTCTACTAATATGTTTGTACAGGTTTTCTAAAATAAATTTTCATTTCTGTGGGACAAATGCTAAGCAGGAATGCAGCCTTCTTTCTCAGTCTTGAGGGTAGGTGGGGATGGTACTCCAGTGTTTTGTGGTGTTTGCATGCATTTATGGGTAAATATTTTCTGCCTTGCTGGCCTTTTCTAATCCTTAAGCGTTAAGTTGGGCCTTTTAAATTCATTTTAAATTGAGTTGTCTGTCGTGTCAGTAACTTAAGGAATAGAAATAATTTTAACACTGATCTTGATATAGTAAACCGAATTTTAATTTTGCTTTTATGTGTTTCTGCCATCAAAGGTGAGGATTGTGGTGAAGTGCATCAGAATTGGAATGCTTATCACTCTTCTTCAGAGTATTCAAAAGGCTATCACAACAGAGAATTCACAAGAGGCTTTCCCAGGGGTAGATATCCCCGAGGAAGCCACAGCAGACCTCCACCTCAACAGTTATATAGCTCAGATCATATGGTATCTCAAGAGACTTTGGGATTTCCACCTCAGAGACAAGATAATCCTGTCATGCCCCACTACCCCTATCCCCCTCCTATGTTTGATATGCATAACTTTTCACTGCCTCCCCCACCCCCACCTGTAAGCATGGGGTGGGCTGCACCTAACATGGCCTCTCATCCCTTGCTGAATTTACCATATTCCCTGCCCCCACCACCCCCTCCCCCACCTCCTCCCCCTCCCTCTCCTGGAGAGGGTAATTCTCATTTTGGACCTTACTATTAGGTATATGCTTTTATTTCAGAAAAATGTAAACTGTTCAGATTATATGTTAAAGGTTTTTTTTAAAGGAAAGTATTATTGAGCTAGATCTTTTTAAAAAATTGTAAAATAATAAATGACTCAGTTGAATGTTCATATATATTTTAAATAACTAAGTTCATATATATTTGTACTTGTGTGAAATGGTGTTCATAGGAACAGTTAATCTCATTCTTGGAGAAAAATTCAATTTATGTAATATTTAAGTAAAATGTTGAATCATGTCCTCCACTATTCCCATCCAGTAAGCAACATGCATAGTCGTGGTTATGGAGGAGGTTTTGTCGTGGCTATTAAATATGCCTGTATAATATGCTGCACACTGATTGTCTTTTTAGTATAATCTTAAGATGTTGAAGTCCTACTAAGTGTCTTTAAAATAAAGTATTTTTTATAAACTTGATACTTGGGAGTGATTATGAGTGCAAGAATTCCTTAAACGTACTTTCCTTAAGCAAGTTAAGTGTGGAGAAGCAAGATACATACTATGGACAGAAGCTCTTGCTAGCAGGTTAGGGTGAACTTTGCGTTGACAAACACATTGTCTAGGTCTTCATTGCTTTCACATATGTAGAATGCTCTAGTGGGGAATCACTTGGACATTAAGGTGTGTGGGGGCGTATGTATGTCTTCTCTGTCTGTTCCTAGGCTCTCCAGTATCTGACATGAGTGACATGGCTTATAAATGCATAGTGAATGACCGAATGAATTGAGTTTTTAACTAAATGAGTTGTTTTCTAGCACTGGTGTAAATGCTAAGAGTAATCAAGGAGTTTGGGATCTTGCCTAGTCCTTCACTGAAGTCTCTCCATTCCCACTTATTAACTGAGAAGCCTGTGTGCTCATTAGAGGAACTCATTTACCTGAGGCCACTTAGCTGTTACAGTGACAGTTGAATCCAGGTTTTTTTTCTTCCTCAGTACTTTCTGCTCAGCTGGTGCTTCCTAATCTTTCATTCCCTGACATCCTTACAATACTGTGTGTGTATAGCACGTGGGGAATTTGCAGATCACTTGTTCCAGGTTTGTCAACGCTGTTTGCATCGAGGTCCCGCTGTACTCCCTACAGCATTTGTGGTAGACAGCTACAGAGCTCTGCCTCGGCATGCAACCACTTCTGAGTCTGTGGGAAAGTGTGCATATCATCTTTATCATGTGGAGTTTCTTCATTATTCTCTAAAGATTTCTCCTTAGGAAGAGCTTTTTAGACTTGGTAGTATGTTTCTGGTTTGTAGAATGTTTTTGGTTGATAGAACTGAGAGTAAGATGGTGTTTGGATTGAAGAGATGGCTTAGCAGTTAAGAGTGCATACTATTTTGGCACAAAATTTCATCTCAATCTGCAAGTATTTCAGGGTAAACACATTACTACAGTTTTCTTGACAATACACTTTGACTTGGGTAAGCTAGTTTGGGTAGCACTGGAGGTGAGGTTGTACCAGTGAGAAAAACTATCTACAAATATCCTTGGCATCTCAGAATTATTTCTTTGAAGTGTTTGTTTTGTAATCAAGCCTTCATCTTTGGAGTAGACCCTGACTACTAATGGTTTTACTGTTCTCCTTCCAATATGAGTGGTTAGTTAGCAATCGGCTGTGGGTGGTATTAGCTGTGGTGCCTTCAAGGAGACCTGACTTCTCATGAAAGAAGCTCTCTGTCAGTGGATGAGCGCCCCGTGATGTGGCTGGAGAAGACTTCCAGCGTTAGGCTGCTAGCTCTTCTGCTTCACTGTGTGAGAAGTTAAGTCTCTTCCCTCGGAAGAGCTGGGAACACTGGACTGCCATTGGTGTAGACGTGGGCACACACCAGAGAAGCTGCTGCGTTTTCCAACATCAGAACTAAAAACATGAATTTGTGGATTTTGGAGCAGTGCACAAGCTAACAGACCAAAGAGAAATGGTGCAGGTTTGTGAAACTCCAACCTGAAAAGAAGGTAAATGTGTTATGTGTTCATCGTTTCTTACTTCAAATAGAAAATCCTTAATCTTTTCCTGCACTAAGTCAGGATAGTCACAGGGTTATATGCAGATAATTGTCTCTCCGGTGAATGGAAGTACTGTTGTTGACTAAGCTGCTATGTTTGTTTTCTTAAGCTGAATTCTGTTTTAGAAAAAAAGATAGTACAGCTCATAGTCATCAGATGTGCACTGACTAGAAACGGCTGTTTGAGGGCTGGAAAGATTAGTGGCTACCATTTGTAGCTCTTCTAGAGGACCAGAGTGTGGACCAGAACCCATGTTTGCTGCTCAAAACCAACTGGAACTCTCATGCATTGATGCCCTCTTCTGGCCTCTTGACATCCACAGACAAATAGTTTTCAACATGTATATTTAAAGAACCGGTGTGAGATTGCCTTTTGAACATCTGGAATAAAAAGCAGCTTGAAATTTTACCAAGGGGCATGCCTTATTTGGCAGTGCACTGCTATAATGGGATGCCACATGCTGGGTAATTTGTATCAAACAAAATGGCACTTTGCTGTGAAAGCCCAATGTCAGGTGCCAACAGCTGGCAAGGGCCTTCTTGCTGCTTTATCACACAGTGACAGCTATTGGGGAGAATGGATGTTTTGTTATCGTACCACTTTATACCATAGGCTTAAGCCCATCTTTGAAGACCCCACTTACCAGTTCTGTTCCAATAACAAATTTCAGCGTGAGTTTGGGAGAGGACGGTCAGACCATAGCAGAACATTGTGTAAAAGTGACTGACAAAGTGCCGAAATGTGTTCATGTCACTCTGTAGTGAGATTGTTAGTAACTGTTCATCAGTGTGAAATGGAGAAGGGACAGAGCCCTAGGAACAGGACTGCACTCCCCCCATTTCTCTGTATGCTTTTTATTCATTCCTTTATGGGTTACCGCTTTTGCTAATAAACACCATTTGCTGAGCATCTGAGTGTTGTCATTTTAGCTTCTAATATGAAAAGGGATTTAAGGCCCCCGTGTTTAAAGTTCTTACTTCATGGAAGCAATATTGTCAAGCACTTTTGTTTTTTTGTTTTTTGTTTTTTAAAAGACCCCAGCTCAGGCATAGTGTACCCTATTGTATCAGTGTATATCATTTATGATTCCTTTGAACAGTACTGACTGGTTTTTATTTGATTTTATGGATTTACACATTTTACTGTGTTGGACTCGTTTTGATGTATCTGTTCTTTCACACAGTATTCCACTGTTGAATTTTCACTATTGAGCACTGTCCTACACTATAGTTTCCCTCATCTCCAAATGAGAAAAATCCGGGAATACAAGCTGAGAAAAGTTACCGTTTGTACCTGTGTTCTTCATTTCCCCATCTTAGTTAAGGTCCTAAAATTTGAGCAAATTCTTTACATAGAGTGCTGTCATTATATACTCTATATCATTAGAACTTTAAAATAGTTGTCATTGCTATAATTATATGCTAGGGACTGGAAGTTAATGCCTTCTTAAATAAGAGCCCTTAAAATTCAAAATTTGACATTTGCAGAATGAATTCATTTTATATTCCTTCTAAAATACATGCTCAGACACTGCTGTTTGACATCAGAGAATACCTCACACACACACATACACACACAATTTTCTCAGTATAGTGTAGGCTGAAAATGTAAAATACAGAAAATCTTACAAAAACGTATTAGGTAATGTTAAAGCTGAGCTATTTATGACAATGCATTCAGTATTCTAAAGGAAATCACAGGGCAGTGTGTCCTTTATAGCCATTGGAGTGCTAGCTAGTCCTATGCTTGTTTTCATTACTTTTTTTATGTATGTGAATATGGATTAGCATGTAACAGACAAGGTTTTATGCAGTTGTATCCTGCGGAGTTAAGAACATACTATAGTTGAAACCAAAGTTGGATTATCTCCAGTATTTTCTAGCAGATATTTGTTTAAAGCTTCTAACAGCAATAGACTCTATACTATTCACCTAAATTGTTGTAGTGAATTAGACATGTACAACTATTTAGTGTCCTGGGAACAAGGTGCAAATTTGAGTATCCATTGGTAAAGGAATATTGCAAATAAAAATGACAATACTCTTTTCTGCAAATTGAATAAAATACCACTGTGTACTCTGTTTCTATGCTACCCATATTTGTTATTTGAAAGCTAGTATGAAAAGCCTCACCATGACATACTGCTCAGTGTTCATTGCCTCTCACTTCTCTTTTGTAAGGTTGATGAAAGGCAAATACATTTTGCACTGCATTACCTTATAGTTCATCTCATTACTTCATCCCCCAAATAGAACAGATTAACCTTGTTCATGTGGTAAAAGCTTTCATTTATGTTGAGGATAGAGGAGCCAAATGTTTTTCCGAACAAGAGCTATGACCTGAAAGATAACAAACTAGAACAGATACAAAGGGATAGAGTCTCTTAGCAGGTACTGCCCATTGAAATTTGGCAAATAGATGATGGTAGTCTGTAGTGTGGCGATGGCAGAGATGGACTAAAATGTTCTCAGTACTAATTACCAATCATTGGGCAAAACCTGTTAGCATACCTCTCTAAAGCTTTTATGGCGCGCCCCTATGACATACAGAAGTGCTGGGGGCCATTTGTTCTTTCCCCCTCCAACAGCCCTTGAAAATATGTGTGATGATGTATCTATCATGCAGTGTTTTGTCTCAGACGTGATTTGGCACCTTCAGACTCAATTATGGAAGCTGCCTCAGTTATAATTCATTCGATGTAGATAATTTTGATGCTTTGGATTTTGACTACAAATGTTGATAAAATTGTTGGTAATCATACAGGTTCAAATGAATTCAGTTCACAAGTTTTTGGCAGAAGTGGATTTTTGTTTTTTGCTTTCTGATGAAGCCATTCTGACCCGACTGAGATGGGACTTCAGCTTAGCTTTGATTTGCCTTCCTTTTGTGATTTTTTTTCTCTCTCATAACTAAAGATGTTCAGCATTTTTGTGTAGCCGTTGGCTCCTAGTACATGTTTGAGAATCTATTCGCAGGTTGTTCAATTTTCCTTTCTTCATTCATCCCCCTCTTTGTCCTTCCCTCCTCTCCATCCCTATCTGTGTCTGGGGGAAGCAAATTCTAACCCAAAATCTCTAGAGTGTCAGGCAAACACTCTACCACTGAGCCATGCCCCCAGCTTGAGTCCTTCAGAGTCTACATGCTAGTCCTCTGCTGGAGGAATGGCTGGTCGGGGTTCTCTCCCCTTCTGTAAGTGGCCTCTTCTCTCTCTTGTTCCTTTTGCCATGTAAAAGCTTTTTAATTTGATACACTTCCAAATGTTAGTTCTCACTTTCATTTTCTGAGCTGTTAAGTGTCCTGCTCAGGAAATCACAATCTGTGCCAGTATCTTGAAGCATTTCTCTTGGTGTCTCGTAGCAATTTAAATTTTTGCATGAAGGCCTTTGCTCCATTTTGAGGTGATTTTTCTTACAGCATAAAA